GAACTGGGAAGACATTTTTGTTAAATTTATTATTAGCGCAAGTATGGAAAGATAAAAACATTGCTGTGGCCGTAGCTTCCTCCGGTATAGTCGCCACGCTGCTAAGCGGGGGCCGCACTGCACATTCTGTTTTAAAACTCCCTCTAAATCTAGCCCAGGAAGAATCGCCGATCTGCAACTTTAGCAAAAATAGTGCACAAGGTATAGTGCTACGAGAATGCAAACTTTTAGTGTGGGACGAAAGTACAATGTCGCATAAAAAACTGTAGAAGCACTAAATCGAACGCTCCAGGATTTGCGCAGCAATACCGATGTAATGGGAGGAATGGTGGTTTTACTAGCTGGTGACTTTTGCAAAACTTTACCTGTTATTCAAAAGGGCACACCTGCAGATGAAATTAAAGCATGCCTCAAGTCGTCTATTTTATGGAATAAGGTGACAATATTCAGTTTAACTACGAAAATGAGAGTGCATTTGTATAATGATATCAATGCTGGAAACTATGCTGACACACTATTAAAAATTGGCGATGGGTGGTTGGAAACGGATGCTGAGGGCTGCGTTAAATTGACGAGAGATTTTTGTAATTTAGTGCAGAGTCGTTCCGAATTAATTGTGAGCGTTTATTCAGATTTAACGAACAACATGCATGAAGACAAATGGTTATGTGAAAGGGCGATTCTTGCACCAAAAATGAGAGCGTAAACAAAATAAATTCAGATATATTAAGCGAAGTAGCAGGAGAAATAACAGAGTATTTGTCAGTAGACACTGTTATGGACACAGAACAGAGCACTTCATATCCCGTAGAGTTTCTAAATTCTCTAGAGTTGTCAGGTGTGCCCTCACATAAGCTTCAATTAAAATGAGGCGTCCCAGTAATGCTAATGCGAAATTTAGATGCTCCTCGGTTATGTATCGGGACAAGGCTGCGTGTGACAAATCTTGGACGGAACATAATCGGTGTTACAATTTTGACAGGCGTAGGAAAATGTGAAAATGTTATTATACCACGGATCCCTACAATTCCCACAGATCTTCCTTTTCAATTCAAAAGTTTGCAGTTACCTATTAAGCTCAGTTTTGCAATGACATAAATTTATTAATATAAAGCGCAAGGGCAAACATTACAGGTAGCGGGGGGTCAACTTAGAAAAACCGTGCTTCTCTCATGGTCAGCTGTATGTAGCATGTTCGCGTGTGTCAAATGCCCAGAATCTCCACATTCTTTCCCCGAATGGAAAAACATATAACATTGTTTACAGTAGCGTCTTGAAATAGTGTTCAGTTAGTTTTTTTTCCAAAATTCCCACAATCAATTTATCATGATTCCCACAAATCTCCCTTTCAATTCAAAATTTCCTATTTAGCTCAGTTTCTTTTCAATTCCAAATGCTGCACCTCTGACGGACCTATTAAGCTCAGTTTCCTTTCAACTCAAAAGGCTGCATCTCTGACGGATCTTTTATTTGGCTCAGTTTCCTTTCAATTCAGAAAATTGCATCTCTGACGAATCAATTTAGCTCAGTTTCTTTTCAAAAGTCTGCATCCCTGACGGATAATTACGCTCAGTTTCCTTTAATTAAAAAAATATCCCATTTCCATTTGGAATAAATAGGCTATTTTCATGCTTTCCTATAGGCTGCGTTTCAAAACATTTAAATAGGCTGACAAATCAATTTTGCTCAGTTTCCTTTTAATGGCTGCATCTCTGACAAATCTATAAAACTCAGTTTTCTTTCAATTCAAAAAGCAATGGATAGTTCAATTCCCAGTGACCATGCGGGCGATGCCGCGGGTAACAGCTAGTCTTTAAGTAAATCATTGACTTCAAATATCTGTAAAAAACTTATTTCATGACACAAATGCCTGAATCATGTTACATTAGACTGTTTACACATTACTTTAATAAAATAAAATAAAAAGTAAATAATTTGTCTTTCAAACTGGCCACAATTTACAATTAACTCCAAAATTTTGGGTTTTGTCATCAAAAATCATTGAAGCTTGATAAAAAATAATAGTCGCACTTCGTCTAAGACAAGTTGGGTTCAAATGGTTCTGAATACTAGCTCCGCTTTACGGCTTTGCAAACACCCTGTATTAAGAGACTACTTTTCGCTGAAGAAGTTTGATATTGTAGAATCAATATTAAATTTTCTATCCTCTAGTGCAATAAAAAGTCAAGTTGTCGTATGGATAATTATTTATAATCTACGTTAATTTCGTACGCCATTTTCGCGTGAATGTTATTGTGTTGATTTTTGAATTTTTCTAGTGTTTTATTAGTGTTTTAGTATAGTATTTTATTATAAAATTGTAATGAAAGTTTTTGTGTGAATATAATTTATCTTATTACGTAAATAAATTCGAGTAATATATATTGAAATAATTGTGATTTTCACGCGTTCGACATTTGCTTGTTTTGTTTTTGTTATCACAATACAATAGTCTTTTTGTAATGAAGAAAAATCTGACTTTTATATAGAGAATTTTGTATAGATTTTATAACGCCAAACTTCTTTATAGAAAAGTAGTCTCTAAATATAGCTTTTAATGGTTTTAAGTGCTGCGGATGGGTGCGGTTACATGCGACCGCTCGGAATTTGCAGGGCGCATGCGACTGCATCGGATTTTTATGGGGATCGAAGGGTTAAAGTAATTACATACATACCTACGTAGTTTTGCTGGTGAAATAAAAAACGGAGTCACGGGGTATATAATGCCTACGCAAATCGAGCATTTAATTTAATTCCTTTCTTAGTTGTGTGGCCAAGTACATCTATTCTTGATAAGCGTTTAAGATAAATATCGACAATAATTTTGATATAATTGAGTCGATCTTCTACCCTACATAGCGTACATGTATAATATTTTGTTAAAAATAAATTCACCAAAATCATACTAATTAACAACAACGTGACTTTTTTCTTTGAATAATATCAAAATTAATAAAATAATTGAAAACATTCTATTGCAGTTTTATATTTTAAACAATATATAACATAAAAAAATACACGCGTCATTACAGTAACGACGTCTTGCGAATTTACCTGTGAAATGCGCAACTATAACGATTATTTCTATTATTGACACCACAGTTTACGCAGATACAAGTAACTATTTTGGAAAACAATAAATTACAAAAATTTACCACTATTATATATTCTAAAAAAATACAAAATACCTAAGAGATTATTTTTTGCGTGCCAACTTGTGGCGACCTGTCATTCAAAATCAGTTACAGAATCTTGAAATTTGCTATCCTTTTCTATCTTGCATTTTTGCCTAAGGAATATACGTCTATACACGGTTATATAGACAAGTATATATATAACATAGTTATATAGACAAGTAAATATATAAGTAATATGAGCCAATGGTGAGGAAAAATAAATTAAAACATCTCAAACATTTCCCGCTTTTTATCTTTAAAATTCAAAAAACTGGTAATGCATTATTTTTTACATTCATAATAATAAGAGTCGATCGGTAGGGAAAAACGTTGTTGCCCATAAATCACATTCAATTTGGAATAATTTCATATAAAAGTAGTAGCATTATTTACTCTTATTTTAAAAAACTGCAATAAGGGTATATTATTACTTATATATTTGAACTTAAGTTTAAAATTTGGCTACTCATTGAAAAATAAAATTGTATATTCTAAGTGTATGCTTTTCCGTGTCACTTTATCATTTCATTTCAAATCGCGACGATTCTTGGTAACAGTTTTTGATCCTGATATTTTAAAAATGCAGACAAATGCAAAATAGGATATCCAAATTTCTTAATCAATATCATAAACAACAGTTTTTGATCCTGATATTTTAAAAATGCAGACAAATGCAAAATAGGATATCCAAATTTCTTAATCAATATCATAGTCACTAATGCTTATCACAAATTCATAATTAGACAAAGATCTCCAAATTGATTGCCACTAAGCACTTGCCACTGTCGTGAGCCACTTGCATCCACCTGCTGTCTAAATTACTTATTTAAGTAACATTATAGCCTATTGAAGTCCACTACTGGACATATGCCTCCCCTATAGCTTACCTCATAGGGCGATATTCGTCATAGTTGCCACGCTCAGCTAGTAGGCTGGATACCATAGTTTATTTTTATTTTTAGTCAGTATTTAAGTGGCAGTATTTAATTATTATACTTGCATGCAATGCAGTATGGGAAAACAACATGCAACAACACTTTTCATTCCATTTCTTGTGACTTTGCGTTCAATACGTTATCGTTTTTACGATAAATACGTAGGTGTAAAAGTCAAATTCAGTAAAAATCTACACATGTTAAATATAATTATTTATTCAGTTTTGTTTCAAAAACATAAAATGATTTAAATTTTTTTTAAACAACAGCTAATTTGCAAAAAACATAGACAATACGACTTCGGCTTGAAATTTATAGATGAAAGCGAATTGATTTTATCGTCGAAGGTTACCTATTTGGACTATGGTGCAACGCTTATAATAGAATTACATAATAGTAATAATATAGCTTCCAGTAAATATATGTCTCATAATATCAGCTGAGGCAGCCCCTGGTCAGGGCCGGATTAACAGTCGGTGGGGCTCTTAGCAGTGAATGATTTGGGGCACCTTATTTTTTTATTTAATATAATTGTTAATATTTTTTTGGTTTTTAATGCATAAGTGAGACACAACTATTTTTATGTTGTATATTTGTTGCAAAGCAATATTCAAACTAATTTCATTTTTAAATTTATTTACAAAATTACTTAAAAACGATCGCTTACAAGTTAAACCTTCTTTTTTCTGCACTTTTGACGAGCAAAATCTTCTATCAATTTTGTCAAAATTCTTACGACGCATTACATCCGATTCGATTGACAGAGAGCCAACGAACATAATCGTTCTTGTTGCATCGTTGTCCTTAAAGGATTATTTATCCTTTTCAACTGCGAAAAAGAACGTTCTCTAGAACAATTTGTTATGATTAATGATAAAAGTATTCTGGATCAGATTTCCAAATTAGGGAACACTATTTGAAGTTGATCATTCCCAATGATCTTGTAAACATCAGTGAAATTCGCACTAATACTTTGATCTTTTTCCATTTTCAAACGAACATACTGGTGAAATTGTTGTAATTCATCAGCAACATTTGAATTTAAATCCTCAGGATACGATGCGACAAGCGATTCAACCTTGTGCAAACACTCATCGTTGGTAAAATCCATTTTTAATAAAAAAGAAAACTTGTCTGCCAGCTTTTCGTAAACCTCGCCTCTCGTTTTCGTCTCGACTTGAAGAGTGTCGACAATGAAATAAAAGTCGAAACGTGAAATTTGTCCCTTGCAGATAACACAGCATTTTCAGCTGGACCATCATTGACTTGTACTCTCCAAGTACGTCTTCGGTTACCATTTCCCCGATAATCACCGTCGGGCAAAATTTCTTTGGACTTGTTCTCGAATTCGTCAAATCTTTCTCTGAGATTTTGTAAATAAAAAGCCTACGTTATATACAAATCACTGCAAACTTGCAAATTAAGTTCTGCATTTTGAAGGACTTGTGATGTCCTATGAAATTGATGCAAAATATCATTCCACATCGTAATTATGAAAACAAACTCAAACTCTTGCATTTTTTATGAAATATTCATTTTTTCTTGTCTAGTTTCCCCTTTTTGATCCATATCTTCCGAAATAGAATCTAACGCGTCGAGAATTTGAGGATACGATTTTAAAATTGCATCTGTGGCAACAGCGTGTGCTTCTCACCGCATGTTTGAGAGTTTCTTCAAAACTTTTTCATCATTGATATGATCCTTTAGTACTTTCCATCTTTGTGTAGAAGCGGAAAAACATACGTAAAGTGTTTGCACCAACGAAAAAAAGTTGACAGCCTCAAAACAACAATCGACTGCACTACGACCGACAAGATTCAATGAATGTGCTGCACACGCAATGTATATTGCATATGGGTTGAGTTGTAAAATGATACTTTGCATCCCTTTATAAATACCGGACATGTTTGCTGCGTTATCATAGGATTGCCCTCTGCACTTAGAAAAATCAAATTTGCAGTCTTCGATCAAAAATTTTAAAACCGCATCCGCAATATCTTTTCCAACGTGACTTTTAATTCTAAAAATGTTAAAAATCACTTTACAGGAAAATCATCAATCGGTGAAACGTATCTTATGATGACGCACAACTGGTCAATGTGTGATAGATCAGGAGTTGAATCGACGGACAATCTAAAATATCCAGCAGCTCTTATTTCAGCCAAAATCGCAGACCGGACTTCCTGACTCATTAGTTCAATGAGCTACTTGCAAATGGTTTTCGACAAGTACGACACATTCCCTGTAAAAATGAAAAGTATACTATTATTATATAGTGAATTCTCTTGAAAAAGGTCACATACTGACAATGCATTGATAATATATTGACGATACATTGATAATATATTGACAATACATTGATAATTAGTAAATAAACGCCTTGTGAACTATCTGGAGAAATGCAACTGTATCTGTCCAAAACAATTTGATTTTCGTAAGGGTAAAAAAACCGAAAACACGGTAAACCTACTAACGACCACTCTGTCTGCGCATCTTGATAGTAAAAAATCCTGTATTGGGATATTTATGGACCTATCCAAGGCTTTCGATACCATATCTCTTTCTATTCTCTTGAAAAAACTAGAAAACATAGGTATTCGAGGGGTGGCCTTGGAGTGGTTTAAAAGCTACTTAACAAATCGCAAATACTGCGTAAAAATTAGTAAGTCTATCAATAGCTTACAAAATGTCAGTTTTGGAGTCCCACAGGGTAGCATTTTGTGACCGACATTATTTATCTTATATATTAATGACATTCATGATATAATACTTGAAAATGCTAACATTATACGCTCTGCCGATGACACCGCGGTCGTTTTTACGGACCTTCATGGAAATCTGTTTGTTCTATCGCTGAGCGAGGTATGTTGCAAATTTCTCTGTGGCTACGGAATAATTTACTAACATTAAACTCAAAAAAGACGATGTACGTATGTTTTCATAAAACAAATGCATCCTGTCCGAAGTTCGATTTGAATAAAAAATTCATAGTCATGCGACATAAATCCGCGCTGCTCATGTGAGTCTCTTATGCAGGTTAAAGTTATAAAATATCTCGGTGTACTCGTTGACGAAAATTTGGGATTTAAATCGCACAAAGAAGTTCTTTCAAACCGAATCAGAACGATTATCCATATAATGAGAAAGCTATATTATATACATAACAAATAAGGCAAAATTAAAGTATGTGTATTACGCCCTTTGTCAATCGCTCATAGCTTACTGTATCATATGTTGGGGATGTGCATCCAAAACATATTTAATACAGATTGAGAGAGCACAGCGGGCAGTTTTAAAGGCAATGCTAGGAAAACCGTACTGATAACCCACTGCAAGCGTATACAAAGATGCCGGAGTACTTACTGTACGTCAACTCTTTGTGCTGAATATGTCTTTAGCAGTACATAAATACATATTATCTTCAAATGACCACAAACTACTAACAAATCGCAGGGTACATAAACTATCCACACCTTCTGTCAATACAAAATTTGCCCAAAGTTTTGGCGACTTTATCAAAAGACAAATTTATAATAAAGTCGTCAAACACTGTAAAATTATAAATAAAAAATATGCATCAGCAAAATAAATCATAAAGAAATGGTTGGTCACCCTATCATATGAGGAAACAGAAGAATTGTTAAAAACTTTTTGAAATTTTTAACAATTCATCTGTTAATTTTTGAAAATTGATGGTATTTGTGAAATTTTTAGGTAAATATTGATGTTTTAATTTTATTTTCTTTTTCTTTTTAAATGTAGTTAATACATATATAGTTAATACATTCCAGTTATATAAAACTTGGCTTGGTTGTTAAAGTTTTCTTTCTTTTTTTATGTCTTTAGATTTTGAGCATTAAGCAGTTCTTTTATTGCTGTTTTGTGTAGGTATATTAAGACAGATTGTCTGATAAGATGTTTAAAATAATGCCTAGTGAACTTTGGTCTCAGGTTTCCTCGAAACAGGCTTGCCTAGTGAGGAAACCAACAGATATTACCTATTATATATATATATATATTTCTGTTAATAAAACATTTTTAATTTTTCATTTTTTCATAATATATTAACAATACAGTGAAAAAATTGATCCAAAAATTAAATCGTGATTAAAATGTTACCTTTTCCTTTGTTTCCATAATTTGAAATGTGCGAGGCCAAAAACGGATCAAATTTAGCGACAACTTCTAGCAATCCTAAGTAGTTTCCGTTATTCACGGATCCAAATTTTTCATCTGAACCTCTAAAAGGCAATGCTCGTTCTGTCAATGTTTGAACGACAGATACAACTCGGTGCAAGATTTGCTTCCAGTATATAAATGCTTCCTCCATTTGGTCATCAAACTGAGATTTTAAGCCCAATCCCTCGTCGAATCAAATATGCAAGCACTGCTTCTCTATGAGACTGAGAATTTTCGTGTTGATCAATGACACAAGTGTTACGCTAATCACTGAATCCTGATACCAACCGCGACGAAACATTAGATGAAAAAAGTTTACAAACGAAACAATACACATAGTCCTTTGACGGAGAATACAGCAGCCATTCTTGAGTATACTTTTCCGTTTCTTTACCGTTGGCCTTGGTACCATTAAAAATATTGCGAAAGCAGAATCTTGTTTGTTTTCCATCTTGGAAAACTCTCCGCGAGTTTTCCAACGAACTAGAGTGGTGTTGATATTTTTGTGGTCCCTCGTTTGTCCAGTAGCTAATATCATCCTCAGTGAGTTCAGTCCACGTTCCAGAATCATTGTCCCCGTTCCCTCGGTGTGCGAGATTTGGAATTGTTGCATCATTGTTATTGTCAACAGCGAGAGATGGTTCCTGAATATTTTGCCCGCCGTCTTCTTCCGTCACGCTCGTCGCACCATAAGGATTCATCAGCAGCGATGTAGAGGGTTGAAAGTTTGTCGTTAATTTCGGCACCTTTTTGACGACTTCTTTATCTTTGTTTTTTCTTCGACTAGTTTCCGTTTTCGTGATCCACTCAGATAAACTCTTGTCATTTTTACTCGTATTTGTCACACATTGTTTTTAGTTTTTTTTTTATTTAACAATTTTAAATTTGAACTTTTAAAAACGTTAAAAGCAACTCTGGAGATGTAACGTCTTCGCTCCTCAATTAGAACTAAGTTACAGTCAACAAGGTACAAACATTTATACTTAAGTTTTCTATTGTTTGATGAAAACCATATATCCCCACATTTTCGGTTTTTAGTAGGTAGGTAAAGGCTGGCATCAAAAAGGCTCTAAAACATTTCAGATAGCTTGAAACAAATATAATAGCCTGATCTTGGTGGCCCCACTTCAGAAGTCATTATCCAAACTTTTTTCAATTGAAAAAACTCATTGTATGGAAATTCTGATGTTCTTTTGATGCAGAATTTCTTCTTGAAACTAAAAACAAATAACACGCTTAACCTTTGGGGCCCCCATTTAAAAAGGCAGTTTCCCAACTTCTTTTAACTGGCAAAGAAAGACTTATTTCATGGAAATTGAAATGTTGTTTTGACTTAAAATTTCTTTTTAATACTTGGAAAAAATTAAACGCCTGATTTTCGGGGCCCCAATTTTACGGGGGCCCTAAGCAGCTGCTTAGTTTCTGCCTGGTGGTAGAAATGGCAGAAGTGAGGATTTCAAATTCAGGGTACCAAATAATAGCATTACATCTAATAAATATATAAAAAAAATAAACAAAAAAGTTTTGAATAATTAAATTTAACATAATTTATTCAATCATAATCATTTCATTCACTCATTTGAAACCCGGTAATACAGCCAAAGTGGCATGCAAATACATACATACATACATATGCAATAAAAACAAAACCCTCCTTTTGGCAGTCAGGAAATAAATCATAGCACTCAGTACTAACCGAACCACACTCATAATTTCATCACAAGTTAAAATGTATACCGCCCAACGAAGTGGGCACGGGTCAGCTAGCATAAAATAAATTAATATACAGCGATTTGAGTAAAGATAGTATTATCCAGTTACGAGGGTGACACTTAAAGTTCTTAGAAAATAAAAAACTGAACAAACTAGCAAGTTATTAGTTTTATTATGTCTTTTCAAAATAGTGTCCATTTAGATCATGACGTCGCTGCATACGATGGAACCACTGAGAAAAGCACTTTGTCCACTCGTCCTTAGGGGTTTCTTCGACGGCATTTTGAAATGCAATTACTGCTTCCTTGGCGTCCACAAAATGTTTTCCTCGAAGTTTTTATTTATTTGTATGTGCTCCTGATAAATATCATCTGATGTTTATCTAAACAATGTTTTAAAATGAATTTTGATAAGTAATAAAAATGATGAAGTTTTCAACTATGTAACAAGTGCTTCAATAGTGATATTATAAATTTCAGATTTTTTAATCTGCTCAGGGCGCTTTGAGAAATTACCGTGTTAACTTTATGGTCATTGCTGTCGTCAAAACATCACAAGAACTTTGAGATGAGATGTATTAGCATATTATGAAGAGTTTTGTGAACAATATCAAAGAGTATACCTACAATGTGTTTTTAACAATACAAATAAGAGACAAGGATGTATGGTTTATCACTTTGCCTACTTTAAGTGGCAAATCTTTTCGTAACTTAACAACAACAACAAACTAACCTAAAAAAGTAGAAACTAAAAAACTAAAAATTAAAAATTAAAAGTGGTAAAGCTGAAGTGGATATTTCATTTTCGTAATTACTTTCTATAAAGTTTGTAATAATTCAGTGTTAGTATTTGTTGATTCAACTACAGCTAATGGCGTCCAAAGAAGGAGAAAAAGGCAAGGTAAATATTTATTTTTATATTTATTGAAATATATTCCAACGTTTATGATTTTAATAATTATTTATTAATTTTTATTTTCAGAACGCTCAAGGTACTGGAGATAACAAAGAAAAGCGTAGAAAAGAATCAATTCTAGATTTGAGTAAGTATTTGGAAAAAAGCATTAGAGTGAAATTTGCCGGTGGACGTGAAGCGGCGGGAATATTAAAGGGTTATGATCCTCTGTTAAATCTAGTACTCGATAATACAACAGAGTTTTTAAGAGGTATGTGTATCTGGGAATAATTTATTATTTTAATTGCTGTTCTGTATCTTATGTTAAAATGGCTTATATATAAACCAACATCTTATATTTATTTGTTCTATATTTCATATAATTTAAAATGCTTATTTGTATCATTGACAATTCTTTATTTATTAAGAAATAAATAAAGAAAAAAATTCCAACCAATCTAAAAGATTGGAGCATTCTTACATTTAAGAAACCAACTTATTTATATGCCTACTTCATTTGCAGATCCAGATGACCCATACAAGTTACTCGATGATACTAGAGCCCTTGGTTTAGTTGTATGTCGTGGAACATCAGTTGTTTTAATATGTCCAATGGATGGAATGGAGGCGATACCAAATCCATTTATTACTCAAGAGGGATAGTGATATAATCATAATATGTTTGTTTTTTTTGTATCTATAAAGATAAGTAATAATAATTGAAAAAAATAAGGATTAAAGTATTTTTTTTTCTAAAAAATAACTTTTTTCTTAAAAATATAACTTTTATTTCAAAATATTGCACACATAATATTGTTGCTTATTAACTAACTTACTTAAAATTATAAACATTCATTCAACATATACAAGACAAACATATTTTAAATTACTATGGTAACTTTAACTTATAATTTTGCAAAATTTTTTTTATTTGTTTATTCAAAACCAAATTCATTTCTAATCCAGGGATAACTTTTTGGGCAGTCAACACATGTTATCATATACTTATCATGTTCTAATACTTTTGAAGATAATTTACAAGTTTTGGGCATGGTGCAGGCAATATCATTTTCATTAAAACGACGATCCTTACACTGCCAAGGCTGAAATTTTTTTAACTGAAGCACTGGTGTTGGTCTCCTCATCCAGTCGATGACCTCACGGTATGTTACAAAATATACATCTGGCAGTCTTAAAAGCTCAATAATAAACCTCTGGAAAACAAAATGTAATAGTTAACTGTTTAGTTACAAAGTCAAAAAACTATAATACCTACTGATTGTCCATAAAAAAATAAGAAAATAATGAAATTTTTCAGTGCAGATTTGGACAGAATCAGAAAAAACCATTTCATTCTACATAATTAATTCAAACAATTATACTTACTAAATTAACAAAGGAATTAATACTAATATCATACGGTCCTATCCTACTCCTTGCTGTATAATGCCAAGGTTTTTCGCTAGTTTTCCTTGCCAAATGGCTATACTTAGCTAGAACCTGCTCTCTTGTCAGCAGTGGTGATGACCAGTTGCAGCTACAGTTCCTTTACAAACTTCACTGTGAGTGAACCCCATGAACTGATAGTCTACAGCAAATGGCTTGAATATAATATTAGTCATGGCTTTAAACAAGGTAGGTACTTTAACTGCTGCCAAAGTGTCTAAGCATTGTGCACAAGGGCTTAACACCCCTACCAAGAGACCAGTCATACCATTGGGTTTTTTGATTTCACTTCTGAATATTACACAAGGCTCTAAAATTAATTGAACATTTATATAGACAATACCATCCCGAGAACTGTGATAGAACTAACTACTAACACTTTTCTTACACAATAGTAGTAGTAGACACTGTTATGATTGTAAGATCCCCAATAATAATTTTTAGTTATCTGAAATATTTTTTGGAAGGAAACTTGTTGCGTGGCAGTACCATATTGGCAACACGGATTATAATCTGTGATTGGCAAGTACAATGTTGGGTTAGCCCTGACTAGGTGGAGTGTCGACCTGATGAAACATGCAGGTCAATGGATGCAGGTGGCTCAGGACCACTTTGTTACAATCTATGGGGGAGGAATATGTTTTGCAGTGGTCTTGCGAATGGCTGTAGTTATAGTTATAGTAATAATAATTTAGAATATTGTTATAGTTATACCATTAATATAGTATTTGTTGTAAAATATGAATTAAGTAGTAACAAGTAATTTATACATATATTTGTATGGTAGGTTGTTGGTAGGTAGAGTTGCCACCCGTAACTATAATATAGAGTATCATAAGAAATATAAAGTATCATACTATATTTCAGTCAATTGCACTATATATGTAATATACAAAAATAATATAGTACGAAAAATACTATATTGTTATCCCCAATTTATCTGTCGCGCTTTTTTATATTAACTGTGATTGGAAGTGTGGAACAAGTATGTTTTACGGAAAAAGAGAATGTATTAATTTGACGGCTGCGCGGCGCAGTGGATTAGCAATGAGTGGCTGCGCTGGGGGTCGCGGGTTCGAATCCCGCACGGAACAAGTATTTGTATGGCCTACAAATAATTGTTTCGGGTCTGGATGTTTGTCCTTGTGCAATTTATGTTTGTAAACTGCCTCCGCGATATAGGAGAAAATCCTAGCGTTTTAAAAAAAAGGAAGAATGAAGAAGAATTAAAAATTAATTGTTAATTTATGTTAATATGAATCTAAATTGCTCAGACTCCTATGATTATTTTAAAAGTAAGGTAAATATTGATGGCCAAAGCAAAGAGCTGTAGCAAATATATATGGGAAAGTAAATAAGATTTTTAGAATTATCGTGGTAGAGCCATGCTGCAGCTATATTAATTGTATAGTTGTAGCACGAATGGGTCGGCTCGACCGGGGAAGGACCACGCTCTCACAGAATACCAGCGTCAAATAGCAGCTTAATGCTGCTGTGTTTCGTATGGTGAGTGTAGAGAACCGGAGACCCTTTTTCCTGGAAAAGAGGCATTCCATCTTAGTCCTCAAGGCTGACAACGCATCTGCATTTTGATTCGCAAACGAGGATAGATGTAGATGTCTATGGGCCACAGCAACCATTTACCATC